ACTCGGTAAGTAATCCTACAATTTTTTGTTTATAGCGTAGTTTATACGGATTATTTCCAAAAAATATATACGTATTTTGGAAATGTTGAGTCGGATTAGTCTAGAATCGATTAATTTTATGGAAGGAAACCTTTCAATCAGCCGTAGTCCGTAAACTTCACACGTGTTGGGCTGTGATTGGAAGGACTCGTAAGAAATCGGATTCCTAAAGAATGGAACGTATCTATGATCTTATAGGGCGGTCGACTGTACTTTATATTTTTTAAAGCAAAATTTTCGAATAAGCGTCTTGAAGGCTATAAGTAAGTCATTATCACTTTGACTTTTGTTTACATGTATTCATCAATATATGGTTGTCAGAAATATATGCTATTTTTCCTTTGTTTTCGGTGGCTTTGGTTACATATATTAGATGTTATTTGTCGATTTTAATAATATCTGCCTGCAATATTCTTCCATAGCCATTTTTTGAATCTCCCACACTTTTTGTATCTTTTAGTTCAAAACTTCCTAAGCAAAACATTTAAAAAGATATATGACGTACTAAAAGATTAGGAGCATCTTTCCTGTACAATTTTCTACTATTGCACGGCGTTATATCCTCTCCGTACTTTATAAATTAGAATATTCTTGATATGCTTTTTGTCTGAAAACATTTCAATTTGATTTTCTTCATAGATATCATGTAAAATGTTTCAAATATGCTTATAAACCAAAATTACCATCCAAATTTTCAATAATGGGTTAATTTTCATAACTGTTACAATAAGTCACACATCTATGTTAAGTATGGTCAGCTGTAGAAATGTGCACAAATTTTCTGTCTATCCTGATTTAACACTTGATTATTAACCATGGCGTTTTAGAAGTGTGTAAAAGCAACGACAACTAAAAGAAGGTTATAGTAAAAAACGGGGATGGCCAACTTTTGTGTATAGCCTATAAGATCTACTTTTTAACTTAAAAATGTGTCGCGATCGACTAGTTGTCATAGGCACAGTGTAAGTTGCGAAGGAGAATATATGTGAAATATATACTATGTTTAGATAAGCAATTTAATTTAAAACAAAGAAAAAGTACTTACATTTTAAACAGAAGAAAAATTGAAACTCAAAGTTGTCACTTTCGGAGACCACCACTTCAGCCTTCTTCTCTCTGCCGTGTCCCGACCTACTCTCTCTGTTTCTCTTCCCACCTTTTTTTTCGGTTTTACGACCCTTTGTCTACATTACTTATTCCCTTTTTCAACTGTACGCAAATGGATTGCACATGGACCGACAAAACTGCATCTGAGGGAGGACGCGAAAATCCGATATCACTACAGTTGACTTTGCGCGTTACGTTCACGCGTTGCGTTCGGTTACAAGTGTAAAACATTAAGTCAAGACATCGCGAGCGATCGACTTGTTGGCCACCCCTGATATAAGAAATTAAGATAAACAAGCAACTTCTCGAAAAGCATGACGAAGTTACACGTGTGACTAATATGGCAACCACGTTTAAGATGTCAAAGTCGACAGTGCACGACCATTAAGTACAACTTTAATTTTGTAATACAGTATTTACTTATTGTATTTATTATTTTCGTGTTTTAGAGTATTTCTATGGAAGTTATTTGGGTTAGTTTTTCTTAATTTATACGTGTATCTGCCGTTTTAAGATTAACCAAATCGTTGGAATTTGTAAATAAATTCTTTCAGTTGTCATTACTTCCGCAGTACAAACGATTTATTATTATTGTTATTATTATTATTATTGTGTTATTTCAAGCTGCACTTTGTAATAAATGTTATATATTATTAATTATGTCTAATTAGTAGATTAAATATATCACATATTTCAATGTTAATTAATACGAAATTCCTTTCATTTTTATGGCTTAAAAATACTAGCTAGGAAGCAATACATTATATATAATTAATATATTAAAAAATTAAATCATGTTAAAAGGTTCATATAAATAGAAAAATATTATCGTAAAAATTAGATAAATATTTACAGACGTAATTTATCATAATATTAATTTAATTTTAATTAAGCAGAAAAATTGTTTAAAGAACTTTTGACAGAGAAACATTGACAAATGGTAAAAATAAACTTATTAATTACATAAGTAGACATGCATTTTGAATGTTTATACTCATCTGTTCTCTCACTGACAAATATCTGGTTAATTAGAAAATTTGTTGTAAGTTTTAAATAATTTTATATGATTATACAATTAAAATATAATACAATAAACAAGAAAAGTATTTTCTTAATCCAATATTTCACTTAATTTATAACATAAACAAATTATATTTTAAAGCATAGTGCGTAATGTTAATAATGCCTATTTTTACCATTTGTACGAAGTTCCTGCGTGATTCAAAGAAAATTTGTGCTTAATTAATTTGTGCGGAATTACGACTATTATTCCGTTTTAGAGTATTTTAAAATTATTGTAGTTTTAGAGAAACTACAATAATTTTAACATTTTCGAATAAATTGTAAAAACGTCGTCGTAATAAATTGAAAATATGAATTTTTATTACTTTAAAATATTAGATTAATTTCATAGGAAATTTTGAATTGTAAGTTACCTGAAGTCTCTTTAATGAAACCAAAATTTCTGCAGCCACATTTATTGCTAATGAAAAGAAGTTAATAGTGCTAGCGAAGACAAATATGGAAAAAGTCATAGTGACGAACACAATTTGGGAATTTAATTGTCCACCAGTTAAATAAAATGCAAGAAATGTCAGGGAAATAAATAATTTCGATATTGGAAATGACAGAACTAATGGCATCTCTCTTGCATACAATAACATTCGAACTTTTTTCATTTCTTTTCTGCAAATATTAACAATTAATTAATACGATTTTCTAAAATTTGTACGTAATTATTCAAGGAATGAGATATTAAAATAACGAAAAGTATAGTAAAACCTGTGTAAACTGGAATTACACATTTTTGAATTCTTCTGGTTTTGTATATTTTCGTTTTGAACGGGCACTTTAAAAGAACAATGCTTCGTTCTCACGAGTGTTTTCTATTTAGACATGTTTCCGGTTTATTAGTCTTCCGTTTGAACAGGTTTTACTGTATTTAATTTTACTTACGCTCTGACATTCTCTATTAATGCAGCATATGGCAATTCCCAGCAGTACATTTTAATTAATCTCATATCTGCAATCATCTCGTTCAACAGTTTCAGTCTTTCGTCTCCCAATTTAGCTGCTTGTAACCTATCATTAAGTAATTATGTTCAAAAGTAAATATATTCGTTTATACAAATATATATTCTCATCTTAAATTATAATAGAACGTTTTAATTTTCATACAAAAAATATCAGAACAGTTATGTTTACTCTGCTCAAATAATTTCAGTACTGTTTTAGGTATTATAGATTATTTCACATATCGAAATGTAAGATTGTAGCTCTAAATGACAGGGTCGACCAATGAGGTTCAACTTTGTCTCATTTCATTCTGGAATCTTACCAGAGAAATCTAATTGATTACATGGCCCAATTTTATATAAATTCAATGTTAACTTTGTACTTAAAATTAATACTATAAATGAAGAAAAAAATTGTGTTAGTGTAATGTTAACAGAAAATATATTAGAGAAACAAAAAAAAATTTATACCGGAATATCTAAACTTTTAAAATGATATGCAGTATTAAAACATTGCACACTTTTTAATGTATTTAATTAGAACAATACTTAAACAATACAATAGGAATGGCATTGTTTTTTCTATAGTTGAAGGAAAATTGACAATTGCACATAGTTGCATGAGTGCAAAAATCAAATATGTTCTATCAATATGATATGGCTCCCGAAGCCAGCACGCCAGCTTTGAAAACAGTACATATCTTCACGGTAAAAACAAGTTAGGAGTGCACATCGGTCATCGTGTTCATTCTAATACGGTGGATCTCATTTCCTAAATAGAACACGGATTCGTTACTAATGACGATGCCTCGCCCTGTGTATATAAGTTCATTCTACTTTGTCACAGCATCACTGCATATGAAATCGACATTTTGAGGTGTTAATGGCAAGACGTCTAGAGTTTACCTGTATGAAAATAGTTCTTTGCTAGTTGCAGAAAACAACTATCAATGGTGCAGAAAGTAAACCATGTAACAATGCTTCCACCCGTATTTTGATAGTGGACAAATACACTTTTGCAGCAAGTATGGAGCACCTCCCTGTTTCCTGATCATCGTCTCTCCTAATAATCTGTATAGCGTTCGCAGCTGCTATACAGATGTGTTTACTGATATAGCGAGTGTCTTGAATATTCATTGGCAGACATGTCAAAATGGAATAAATGGCAAGAAATTAGGAAGAACGATTATCTCGCTGACGTCAGCTCGATCGTGCAGCATTTTAAAACTATGTCAATTAATTGTATATTACTGCATTATATGACTATGACTACATATTAGAAACATGCCTTATATTCAAAGACATCTCAACAACAACTTGAGTAAAAATTTCGTACACGTTAAACATTGGTAAATGGGTTGTAAGAAATTGAAAGGGTGATTTTAAGTATTTAACATCGTAAGTATCAAACACATCTCTACTAGTAAATTTTTAATAAATCTATAGTAATATTATAAAAAGGTAATGTTTGTAAGTATGTAAGTAAGTAAGTAAGTAAGTTTGTATGCAGCAGGTAATCTCCGAAACTACTCATCCGATTTCAAAAATTCTTTCACCAATATTTAGAATGGAACTTCAGGATGGACATAGGCTGTATATTATTCTGTTAAACATTCATATAAATTAAAAGGTATAATCTAGGTTAAGGCTTTTATGTNGGAACGTATCTATATCTTATAGGAGGGTCGAATGTATATATTATGTAATTATACGAAATTGAAGAACATCTAGAAATCGCCATTCCTTGTATTCTGGTACTACTCTCATCCTGTAAGTGCTAAATTCACGAAATTCTGCTGTGAAAGGAAGTAAAGAGTATGCAAATTTAACATGATCATCATATATAGGCCTAATGATTATATTATTATTATATTAATATTATTTTTTATATTTTATAATATATATATTAGCGTTAATCAAATTAACACTTGTCTTATATGTATTTAACGTTTTTTTATTTTTTTATAGAACATTTTTTATTTTCCTTATTTGCTTACAAATCCTTTCCTTGTTATCGTTACAATTGTGATATTGTGGCAATATTATGGATGGACTATTTTAGCAGGATTCTTGGCTATATTTATTTTTATTCCTACACAAATTGCATTGAGCAAATTATATGCAAAATTGAGGTAATTATTACTTTAAATTATATAGTTTTAACACAAACTGATAAACACCCACTTAGACACACATCCCGAAACACACACACGCGCGCGCGCGCGCGCGTGTGTGTGTTTCGGGATGTGTGTCTAAGTGGGTGTTTATCAGTTTGTGTTAAAACTATATAATTTAAAGTAATAATTACCTCAATTTTGCATATAATTTGCTCAATGCAATTTGTGTAGGAATAAAAATAAATATAGCCAAGAATCCTGCTAAAATAGTCCATCCATAATATTGCCACAATATCACAATTGTAACGATAACAAGGAAAGGATTTGTAAGCAAATAAGGAAAATAAAAAATGTTCTATAAAAAAATAAAAAAACGTTAAATACATATAAGACAAGTGTTAATTTGATTAACGCTAATATATATATTATAAAATATAAAAAATAATATTAATATAATAATAATATAATCATTAGGCCTATATATGATGATCATGTTAAATTTGCATACTCTTTACTTCCTTTCACAGCAGAATTTCGTGAATTTAGCACTTACAGGATGAGAGTAGTACCAGAATACAAGGAATGGCGATTTCTAGATGTTCTTCAATTTCGTATAATTACATAATATATACATTCGACCCTCCTATAAGATATAGATACGTTCCAATTTATTAATTTATTACGAATCCGATTTCTTACAAGTCGTTCCAATCACAGCCCGACACATGTCAAGTTTACGGACTACGGCTGATTGAAAGGTTTTCTTCCATAAAATTAATCGATTCTACACTAATCCGGCTCAACATTTCCAAAATACGTATATTTTTTCGTAGTTTTATAGGAATCGTAATTATAGGGACCGTAATTATAGGGGGGTCGACTGTAAGTCATAATTCCTAGATATATTACTCTACACAATGTTCTTGTGCACGCTAATGTATATTTCTGAATTCTTTACTACACACACTGTAAGCTGTCTGATTATTGTCATATCCTCAAGGTTTAGTGTATGAAAACTATTTTCCATTTAGCACAGACCCTAAAAAAATTGCCGTGAATAATCGCTGACATACACAATTGCGTTAAAATTTTTTATATATGTTGGAACGCATGTGTGACGAGTTTCCAAACTGAAGTTGGTTTTGGTGTTCTGATTTCACTTACTTCAGGTCATGGTAGTCGCTCACAATTGCCATCACAGGCGGTCATTGCAGCATGGATGTTTGCCTGCGATGGATTGATGTAATTATGTGACATTCTATAAGCTTCTACAATCTTACACGCTTGTCTCTATAAGATTGTTTGTTTAGTTAAGTTACGGCAACGCGACACGTAGGCGATCTAGAAAGAATGCCTTCGGGAAAGTGTTTTTAAGAGTAAGTATCCCCTATTCAGATATTACAGACGTGGAGAAAACCCGGAAAACTCCACGTGGTTAGCCCGTCCTGGAGAGGCGCAAACCTACGACAGAATGCCGTGTTCAAAGAACGGAAACGCTTAGCCACTGGTGCGCTCTATAAGATAAAATTTTTTTGTCCTTCTGAGGAAAAACATATCAGCCCTCAGGACATATATATCCAGCTGAACTTGTTTCATATTAGTTATGCTATCACAAAGAGATTTGAAGAGCTATTTATGGAAGCCCAATGAAGAACATTATTCTATAAATAAAACGATACTCCATAAACTAAGCAATGTATGATGTTGAAATTTCGCATTCGCAGAGAGGCCATTACAAAATTTTTCAGAATCGGCAAAATTTCAATTATTTACAGTGTAATTCTGACAAATCTGAAGAAAATTGCTCTTATTCATGCGCTCTTGCAAAACATAAAGTTTAAGTGATTGAAGTTTAGAATAGATAAATCTTTAGACAATGCAACACCCATCCGATATATATGCATTAGAAGTTAATTACCGATATTAATTTATTAATTTATAACAAGAAATGATTAAGCACATTCTGAGGAGTAAAACATTTTAGCTCAGATATTGTATTTTAATTTTTAAAAAATCTTTAGAAATATAATTATTTTTTATTCATATATATTAACGTCGAAAATTATTCATTAGAATATCAACTTCAACTTACAGCATTAAACTTGCAGACATCATTTGCTAGAAGGTTTACCATTTGTCCTACATTCGATTTTCCTAGCGATGAAGGACTTAACCTAATTGCCTGCATATATAAATTTTATATTAACATAAATAATGAGTGTATTACCTGAAAAATCATATAAATTGTACTAGGCTTAGTGCATTTTCAAACTCTTATTCTATTAATTGTTTTTTATTTCTAAGGAATAAGAAATGTATGATGACTTTAATTGTATGAAAAGCACTGAATTGCTTTTTGTAGTAAGCTTTAATCAAAATATTTGCTATGTTTATTTAATAAGTGTATTTTTGAATTTACAGTTTTAAGTATTTCGTTGTATAAAATATAATCTGATAACTTATAGAATATTGTTTACTCGACAGTCCAATGAAGGATTATAAGCTATTGCATTTTATAAAATGTGTAGGCCTATAAATAATTCTAATGCTCTGTTGTGTCTTAGAGAGATGAAAGTGTATGAAGCATATCCAAGTGTAATAGTGTTTTAATTTTATATGGTATATACAAACTTATGGTAAATTAATATCGTACATAATCATAATATATATCATACATAATAATGATATATCATTCATAATTATAGCAATAAATAATGTGGTATGTTTTATACTCACCTTTCTATATATCAGAGTACAAAATGCAATCTTTAATTTCATTCCATAAATTTCTGTGACAAAAGTATTAGTATTATACGTAAAAACATAAATTGCAGTTACACCAAAAAATCCTGCAATTGTTATATATATATTGTGTTGATTCCATTCCAATCTGTTGTCAAAATAATATATTGTTAATCCCAATAGGTATGCTTGGCCTGCAACTACCACCGTTTCCTGCAAACATATACATGTATATATACGTTACATAAAATATTATATTTCAAAGCTTCACGAATTGCAAAACAGATTTAATAACACCTACCGTGTTTCCCCGAAAATAAGACATCCTCAGAAAATAAGACCTAGCACAGGTTTTGCTGAATTGCGAAATATAGACCTCCCCCTGAAAGAAAGACCTAGCGAAATTTTTTTTAGTCTTAACTGTCATCGACAGATGGTTGAAAGTGGCCGTTGGCTTTTTGAAATTACAGCCATTAATCACGCCACACGGCATGATTTTTTTCATAAGACTATGGCTTCAGTGTTGCCACGCCGATTTGCTCGGTAGATTCGTTAGGCAATTTTCGGTAGATTTCGGTAATTTTTCGGTAAATCCACTTTTTGTGGAAGAAAGGAGGTTGCACATAAACAATAACATTCTTTTTCGTCATTTATTATACACTATAAAACAATAAAAAAACAAAAAAACTAACACAGAACACTTACGTAAAAAAATAATAATTTACTAGTTAAGTAGGTACATTTTGTCTTATTTTTCTAACAAAATACAGTAATACCTTTTATTTTTCGGATATTAATAATAATTATTATTTTTCAATATCTTCCGTTTGTATGTTTTTAACACTGTTTCTTATTTTTGAAATTAAATTATCTTTTACAGGAAAATCGTAACAGTAATTTTTATCCAATTAATTGTTTAGTAAGAAGTAAGCTAGTGATTGTTTCAGAGCTCATAAATCAGTTTATTTCCGTATTTCGTGTTTAACAGATTTATTTACGAAAATATTCTTTCTATTCCATTAGCTGAAGAATGGGGCAGACACAAGATATTCTCAACAAAACGAGACAGAATCTTTGCAATAAAGTCTCTTACAATATATAAGAAATGAAGGTACAAATAAATGTTTTATTGAGAATTTTTAGATACATTGAAAATAAAAATTTCTTTCTTGAATTATTGTAAACTTTTCGGTAGATTTGGTGCTTCAATCGGTAGAACGGTAGATCGGTCCCAAAATCGGTAGATCTAACGAAAATTCGGTAGACGTGGCAACATTGTATGGCTTGGGAATCACAGATTTGCATAACGTTACGGCTGGTGATCGCTAATTGGTCGGCCGGGAATCACGCTCCATTATATTTGCATAATGCTACGGTTCAGTAAGCACTAATTGGTCATAGAGCCCGATGTCGACGCTATGAAAAGGTTAAGTTGAAGCGAGAGTGGGAAGGCCACTCCAGCACGGGTACTTCGTAAGTTCAGTTCGCCTGGACCGGATATACGTCACTCTCGTTTAAGTTAGACTTGGGAATTTTTTTGTTCAACAATAAATGTGAATTCTTCTTAATGGAAAAATAAGACCACCCCTGAAAATAGAGCAAGCTTTTTTTGCTCTCAAAGACCTAGCGCATCTTTGAGAGCAAAAATTAATGTAAGACACTGTCTTATTTTTGGGGAAACACGGTAAATGAGATAGACAGATGGCAGCATATTAATGGCTGGTTTATAAACTACGTACCATAATTATGGTTATCCATACCATATGTTATCCATATCCGTAAATGCTTCTAATATGGTACCTATGTGTGAGAGCCAAACTTAGTGAAATGGTTTGTTAAAATTTTTTGGGGGAAAAAAATATTTTTTTAGTTTAGAGAGATAAACAACAAACCGATATTTTAAAGAATAATAAAATTGTTTTCCCACGGACTTATTTCCTGGTTAAAGATGATACATCGAATGTGTCACCCGGAATCTACGACAAGGAGAAAGAAAACACTATTGGTCAGTGGTGAAAAATTAATCCTAATAAGGCAGTGGAAAAACCCAATGATGACCCCCTTTATAAAAAGGAGAGATCGATGCGTCAAAGACAGTTTCCAGAGTTAACTGAACTGTAGGATTACGTGTGTGGATTAGCCGCTGCCAGTGATTGTTCTAATCACCGCCGTGCGCGAAGACCATCGCCTACGAAACCTCATCGATCGAAACAACTGTGTGCCCTTTCGAGATCCAAGGACTAAACTTCCAACTCATAACTTATATCAAGGTATTTATCCTCGCGCGAAGTAATTGTGAACTCTCTCTCTCTACTACTTGTTATCGGGAAAATAATAGCCACGTTAATTGTAATCCAACATGAATTGTATATAGCTAAAGTAGAATAATAAACGGATATGATGTATATAGACAAATACTGTAGAGTGTAATTCCTCTGATTCTCTCCATCTGCCTCCATCCCGGAACCAAAAGTTCGCACGCGCGACCGTTCGCGAAAAGTAAATTAACGGCCAATATTCTTTTCCTGTGTTCAGGATGACATCACTGTGTCCACAAGACACAGTGGTGTCATCCTGACAGGGCGCTAAAGAGGTGCTGACCCTGCGGTCACATCCATACCACACGTTATAAACTACATACCATAATTATGGTTATCCATACTATACGTTTTATACGTTATCCATATCCGTAAATGCATCTAATATAATACCTATGTTAGTAATTTTAAAACATAAGACTATCCGCATCCATAGGAGCCAAATACTTTTAAGGCATACCAGGCGGTCTGCCATACATATACGAACTATTGATGTAAACAGACAAAAATATCACGTGCTTCATTGTATATCAAACAATTCTTTTGTTTTATGTTTCTTTATGAACGAATTAAGACTTATCATAAAATTTTATATTGATCAAAAGTAGCATGAGTCAGTCAATTACCACAAATTAGGTAGGTGTTCAGCTTATATTGATGTAAACTTTCCATCAATGCTTTTGTGACACTCCCTATTACATCGCTTTTTGTTAATAATATAGTTTTTCGATAATTGCAAATAACGGTAGCATATCCGCACAGTTTTCTTATTTCATATGCGTTCTTGTCCCTGATTACCCTGGTCTCATCAGTTACTTGTTGCTTCTGATATATGATTCAACGGCAACTTCCAACAAGTGTAGTCCACAGACTCTCCATAACTATATAATAAAAGTTTAGTGAATGCAAACTTTCTAGTGGAATATGGTCGGAATATCCAGATATAGTACATATATTGTAAAGTCTTTGTAAATCCAATATTAAAATTTACATTTTAAGTGCGGATTTACAAAGACTTTACAATATATATATACAGCAGTCATAAGAAATTTAATATAGTACATAGATTATAACCATACTATATGGGTAAGAATTCAGATAAGGTTATAGTTGCAGATATGATTATAGTACAAAGTTTATAACTCAGTCCTTAGGCTTTAAACCTTTCCAATCTAGAGAACCTAAAAACAAATCTATATGAGCCAAAAAATGCTAGAATAGTTTGGAGACTTTGTCCTGATAAATTCAAAACAACCCTCACCATCTGTAGATCTCATTGCAGGCCTGGCACAGTTAATCCTAAGCTAGATAAAATGGCTCGCTTAGAACGACATGAAAGAAAGTAAAACAAGTTACCTGAAAGAATACAAGCGAAATTATGATTAAGTATTTCAGCCCAACAAATCGTAATAAAGCTTTCAGTATGCTTGAATTGCTCTTCAGTAGTTCCTTGTTCCATTCTCTAAAAGAAAAATTGCGATTTAAATTAACTTAACAATTGAAAACCCTAAAAGATTGTAAAGTAAGTTCCTATTGTGGGGATTCAGCAGCCCTTAATGGCCTTCTTTCATCTGTTGTAACCTGAAAGTTGGAATGGCACAAACCTCAGTTTAAACAGCACAGCACATTACTGAAAGGTTAAGCATCACATAAATCCTGGCAGGGTTCACATGCTCAAAAATAACTAATTTTTAAAAACAGTGTTTCACTGTATTAACAATCAGAATAAATTTTCTGTAATATTTCGAAACAATTAGTTTTAAATTTAGGTAATCAACTTTTCATAACTTTATAACTATCGCATAAAAATTAAAGTAGAATTACAGTAACCTTATGTAACAAAACTAGTTTCTAAATGTTAAATAAAACTATTTTCTGAGTAGAGTAAAAGAATTGCAGTATTGTTTGATAAATTTCTAAACAGGGTTTGATTCATTTCTAAACATCTTTTGTTTGCATTCATAAAACAATTAGCCGTTTATTGACATTCACACTAGGAAGGCTGGGTCTATTCACTTTTCTTAAATCGCAATATCTTAAATCGCGATCTTTGTATATTTATATACAGTAGAATTTGTTTGTGGTTTGAAAGAGTAATAATTATTAAAAAATGGTCAATTCTATAAGTCTGTATTACAAATTGATTAACTTACTTCTGAAGTAGATCCCCAAGGTACTCTGAAGTATGATATTTTGAAGTTCTGTATATATCTTCATCTTTTAAAAATCTTTTTCTTCCTTCGTTTATTATTGGAAAAAGCCAACTGAAAAATAAATATGTATTTATTTTCCACCAATTTCCTTGTACTAATCTATCTGAAATTACCATCGAATTTTTCACATTTTTTATCTTCTAATAAAGATAAAAAATAATTATCATTAATAGAAATCTGTTATAACAATTACTGTGACTACATATAAAATTCATAAAATTTAAAGTTATGCCCATTTGTGTAGGCTTATTATTCTATTCTTTCCATTCGCGTATATACCAAATGCTTTTATGACGCACACAGAATGAAAGTCACACCAAGTTACTTACTGACAGAATCTTCTTATAGGTATGATGTTTAAAGAGTAGAGAACGATAAATTATTATTAAACATGTATATGTGTATGAGCTCTTACTCTGTACTGTAATAAATGATAAAACTTAAAGTGTGTTATTATATCGCTGTTATTGCGAATTTTTACATGTAATAATCGTAATTTAATTGTAATATACGAAAATTTACTATAGAGAAGTCATAAGTAGTAGGCTATGTAGCAAGATTTATTACAAGTAACATTAACCATTATTTAGACATTAGAATATATGTGTCTATAATATAAAACAATATAAATTTACATGTACGTTATATCAATGATACTTTTCTGTGTTGTGATGCAAAAAATTCACAACACAAAGATTCTGCAATGTAAAAGAGCAAAAAATACACCTTTCTTCATTTTTAAAATCGGACATTGGAGTAGTGGAAATCAAACATAATCAAACACCAAACAATTTGCTGAGCTTATTATTTATTTACTGTTCAAACGTTTTCAGCCTACTTCTAATAGGCCATCTGAAGATGGCCTATTAGAAGTAGGCTGTAGACATTACTGTTCTACAATCGTATACAAAACTTTCGAATAAATTTTAAATTTAAACTTTTAACATATTTTTAGACATCTTTACAATAAATTGTAAACTATTAAATACTTAACTAAAAATTTTTTTAACATATTAAATAATAAATATATATAAAATTAATATAACAAAAAAAAAATAAAAAATATTCATTAAACTAGTAAAATATATCCTCCATAAGTTTACGGGTTTTTAATTCCCATTTCTTTTTCTAACAAGTATTTCCATGCCGCTGGCAGAGCATTAGCATCCTTTGCGTTTAAGCAATTATTATTTATTTTACTCTTACATATCTGCATTTTTTCTATGCCAAACGTCATAGTCGGAGAATGGACCGGTCTAACTATCCTTGCATCATCCCACTTAACATTTGCTCCATCTGATTGTGCCATGATTGCCAAGATGGTGTTGTTGTTCCCTTTACTAACGTCATACATGTGCTCCTTTAAACGAACCGCCAGGTTTCTCGTGGTGACACCCACATAATCTTTTGCCACTCCTAATTGTTGATTTTCAAAGGGAATTCTATAAACCACAGCCTTTTCCTTCATTCCTATCTTGTCCTTATCATTCCTTAGCAATTTTTAGATGTTTGGTGCTCGTTTATAAACAGTTCTTGTGCTCTTATATTTACATAATTCTTCCATTATTCCTTCTACATTCCTATTGTATGTAAACTTATTACACCTATTTTTTAGCTTATCCCGTTTGTTTGTCTCTTGTTTGTAACCTTTGACCAATTCGTTAATTGTAGATGTTTTGTATCCTAAACTTTTCGCAATCTTCCTGATTCTGTTAATCTCGCTAATTCTATTCTGTACGTTGGTGCAATATAAGAACGCTCTTTTAATAAGCGCCCTAAACAATGCCATCTTGTATCTAAACGGATCATTAGACCTTGCCGGGATATATAGTGGAAAATGTGTGGGTTTTAGATACACTGCCGGTTGTACATATCCTTGTTTAAATCTTATGTTAATATCCAAAAAATGGATATGTGTATGGCTTTTTTTGTTCAAGTTTTAGTTTTAACCCATGCTTATTGTTATTTATCGTAATTAAAAATTCCTCAATCCTTCGGTTATTCTTCCAAACTATCAATACGTCATCAACATATCTTTTGTATAATATAATGTCCTCCATGTAGTTTTCTAGAACCTCATTTTCTAGTTCACGTACCACTAATTCGCACAAGAGACCCGACATGGGACTACCCATCGGGACTCCTTTCCTTTGTTATCTACTTCCTCGTAGAGAACGGTCAAAAAACCAAACTTCTTTCTATTTTTAAAGTTTATCGATAAAATATTTTCATCTTATATTAATGCTTCATCATTTGGGACTTTGTTATAAAGTGAAATCTGAAGAAGTTTCATATTTAGCATCAGCCTTTTCGGCATCTGATGAAGGTTTCTAACTGTATTTTTTTTTTTTTTTAGTATCTTGTCTAAGCTTTCTTTTAAAC